TTTTAATGAAATTTATACAGCTTTTAGAATACATAATAAACTCGGGCCTGATCGAAGGATTTTTTTTTTTTTGAAAAATTTCGATTTTTTAAGACCAATTAACTGTTGATTTTTTCCCAAAAATCTAGACAAAAATTTCCTGAGGCCGCCATTTTGTTAATTTTTGAAAAAAAAAAAATCCTTCGATCAGGCCCAGGATTATTTATTTATAAAACTAATTTTTTTTATCCGATTGATTTCTGATTAATCTCCAAGGACTTATGATTGTCACCGCAAGGACCTTTTTTTGGAACTGGGTTAACACAAACAGCTGTAACTTCGGAAATAAAAATTTTTTTTTTTTGAAATTTTCGTGACTTCAAGTCAAAACATTGTTTAATAATACCATATTACTACTTTTGTAAAATAAAATTATTTAATAGCAAAAAAAAAATACTGAAAATTCTCATTTTTTCGTGCCTCTGACTACCCCTAACCCCTTAATGAAGATTAACTCGGAGTACATAATGAAATGTAATAAAAAATTATAAAAATTTAAACTGTTATTAAATTATGAGTGTTTTGAAACATTTGTTAACGTTATTTAATGCAAAACATATATATTTACAAAGTATGAAGCAGAATATTATTATTAAACAATTATTCATTATTTAATAATTAATAATAGGTGTCCCACTGTTTAACACAAACCTTAAAAACAAGAAAAATGTATCAAGTTCCAAAAACTTGAAATTTTATGGTAGTACCAAAAAGTGTCCAAAAATATATAAAATTGACATATTAATATCTCTTTAAAAAAAAGTGTCCCACTGTTTGTCACTCTCCCCTACATACATATATACATATAAATGAATTTTTTTTTATTTTTAAAACAAAAATGGAAGAAGATTAAGATTTTAGACGATGATGTTCTTATGCCATTTTCAATCGTCTAGATAGAGAAACGCAATGTTAAACAAAAAAGTACTTATGTTATATTTCTTGGTGTAAGAAAGAAAGGTATGCGTTACCTATTCAGTTTTACACTTTCTTTATAGCTTTTTCACGTGATAAAGGGAGAAAGAAATTATTACCTGGGTCCTCAGAGTTATTAATTAATCCTTCTTACTTGCAGGTCAAGCGAACCCTCATTTGCAAAATAAAGATATATCTTTCTCTCTCCATAACTTGTTCTTTTCTCTGTCACCGAAAACCCAGAAGGGGTCCGGACGGAATGAATGAATGAATGAATACCAAGATTATTATAGTTAATTAGAATAATTTGTCATTATGTTTTCTGAAAAATTGAAAAAAGATTGTCCAATAATAATAATAATATATAATATATAAAAGGTGTACGTTCATAAAAAAGTACTTCAATCCTGAAAACAAATACGATTAGAATTGTACATACGTTTTACCGAACTGGACTTGAATTATGTAGTGCCCAGAATGGATACTCAGGAGAGCTGGCTATAGTTTCATTCGTCAAACTAAAATTCCATACACTTACATGTAGCTTTAAATTTGATTTGTTTGTAAAATTAGTAGACCGTTAAGAGAAAGACTACATGTTTTAAATAAAAGATTCATCAAAAAGTGATAAATAGCACAGGTTTTTTTGGTTACTTTTAAATCTTAATAAACGATTGTTTCAAAAACTAACTTTTTGAGAAATTAACTATAATAATCTTTGAATTCATTCCTTCATTCCGTCCATTCATTCATTCCGTCCGGACCCCTGCTGGGTTTTCGGTGACAGAGAAAAGAACAAGTTATGGAGAGAGAAAGATATATCTTTATTTTGCAAATGAGGGTTCACTTGACCTGCAATCTTTTAAGAGGATTAATTAATAACTCTGAGGACCCAGGTAATAATTTCTTTCTGTCTTTATCACGTAAAAAAACTATAAAGAAAGTCTAAAACTAAATAGGTAACGCATACCTTTCTTTCTTACACCAAGGAATATAACATAAGTACTTCTTCGTTTAACATTGCGTTTCTCTATCTAGACAATTCAAAATGGCATAAGAATATCTTCGTCTAAAATCTTAATCTTCTTTCTTTTTGTTTTGAAAATAAAAATAAGTATATATCTATATATATATATATATGTGTGCATACCTGTATGCACACCTGTATGTCCCTGAAAATTTTAATAAAAAAATTTAAAAATTATTACCTAAGTTCTCAGAGTTAATCCTTATCAACAAAGGTTCTATTGTCTAAGGGTATTTTTCCATGTAATAAATAGGAAAAAAGAACCTGGGTCCTCAGAGTAAATTCTCATTGATTATTTAACAAAGGTTCTATTGTCCAAGGGTTGGTTTTTTGTGGTAATTAATCCGGGGTCTTAATACAAGTGTATATATATGTATATATGGTATCTGTAATGAACTACTGATTAATCATATAAGAGTGTCCTTTTGCACTTATTGGCTGATCAGTAGTTACTCATTCATAGTTCTCTCATTCTATTGGATATTGGTAGTTGTATTGGATAAAAGGCAAAATTTGTTATATTGAATTAAAGGCAAAATTGGTTATATTTAATAAATGACAAAATTTGTTATATTGGAGAGAGTGAGCGAGAGGATTGAAGATATTTAGATTTTCATGAATCAAAAATAAAATTAAACGAAGTATACTATGGCCAACATAAAAGAGTATGTTATTTTAGTGATGAAGATTTAAAAATTGTTAAAAATAGAAATAAATTGTTAAATGACATGCATATGTACAAATTTGAAGATTTATTAAGAAAAGATTCCAATTCTTTTTTCAATATGCAAAGTACTTATACTTTTATAGCCTCAATGAGGGGTGTTTAAATGTGCATCAAATGAAATATTTAATTAGATTGTTCCCTTTTAAACCAACAGTAGTTTGTGTAGTTGTTGATCAACAACCTTTTGGTAGTGTTGAGTGTGGAGTATATGCAATAGCATTTGCAACATCTATATTTTTTAACGTAATGTCAAACAGCGTAAATTATGAAACTGATAATAACAGAATGAGAAACCATTTAAAGTCAATGTTTGAAAATAATCGCTTAAATCATTTTCCGTCAATAAGAACGTCTCACAATAGGAATTCGATAATAGAGAATGATTGGAACCGTCTTTTCATAAATCGAGCTCAGGAACTTAAAAATAATATTTTGAACCCTTGTTCTGTTTTAATACTTTTCCCAGCAATAATATTAACAGAGTTCTATTAACACAATATTTAGAAATTAAACATTCTCTAAATGACACTAGTGAAGAGAAAATAATTCGTACAACTAATAATAATATGAACAAAATTTCACCACTTGAATATTCAGAAATGAAGTATTTTCTGAGTGAAGAAATTGATAAAAAGATAATTCTAGGAATTAAAGAAAAGGGAAGGCAACATATGAACAGAAAATAATTAGACAAGAGAATGGTAGATTGAGAAAACGTAATCCTAATGAAACAGAAACAGAAATACAAAAGAAAGAGCGCAAAAAAAATTTGACATGCAAAGAAAGAAAATAACCATAGAAACTAAAGATGAAAAGAAAATACACAAGGATAAAAATTTGGCATGTAGGGAAAGAAAAATATCAATGGAAACTCAAGATGAAAAGAAAGTGCGTCAAGAAAATAATTTGTCATGTAAGAAGAACAAATTTTCTACGGAAACGGAAGATGAAAAGAAAGTGCGTCAAGAAAAGAATTTGGCATTTGAAAACGATAACCGAAATAAAAAAGTGTAGGAGATGCAATAATGTCTTACAGTTTTCAATGAAAGTAAGGTTCCACAGAATTATTTAGGTTTGATGAATGTAGAATGTAAGTTTTGTTATGCGTTACATTTTCCGTGTGAGAGACCGTCACATAGATTATTTAGTAGTTGCTGTCATAAGGGAAAAGTAAAGTTAAGCGCCCAAGTAGCACGGAATATTGGTTGAATGTAACATTGATATTAAGTGGGAATATTCCTGTGACATTCAGGCGATATCATAATGTCTTCACGGGGACATTCCTCGGTGATATTCACGTGTGATTCGTATGATATTGAGGGAATATTCCCGTGAAATTTGTGTGATATTGAGTGAATTATTCCTCTGATATTGAGGGAATATTCCAGTGATATTAATAAGATAATTTATAAAATTCTAACAAAATTTCAATTTTTTTCCATTGATTTATTTGTTTAATTAAATATTCAAAATAAACAACATTTTAGAATTTTCTAAATTACAGGAATATTGTCTCAATATCACAGGGATATTCCCTTAATATCCCAGGAATATTTTCTTAATATTACGTGAATTTCACGGGAATATTCCCTCAGTACCATACAAATATCACGCGAATTTCACAAGAATATCACCGTAGAATGTCCCCATGAAGCGGACATTATGATATCGCCTGAATGTCACAAAAATATTCCCGCTTGATATCACCTTGACATTCAAGCAATATTCCGTGCTCCTTGGGTGGTATATTTAATATGAAGAAATTTTTTTAAAATTTCTAATATTAAATTTTTTGAAAAAAAGAAGTGAATAAAGATATGGTTATTGCACACGAGCAACGTAGTCGGCCGCTTGCGGACGACAAAGTTGCTAGTTCATTGAATAAATTTTGATTTATAATTTCTTGTAGACTAATAGTCAACATAATCTACATATACGTTATCGTAATATAAACTAATGTTTAATGATTCAAATTTTTCATATATTTACAGTACTAACTTGTAATAAATTAAAATATCATATCAAGTTTTAACTATCATCACTACAAAAAATAAAAAAAATATTTTGAAAAATTCCTTTTGTGCAACTATATCCTAACTTTCAGTTAAAATTCAGTAAAATGTCCGGAACAAATTTTCTCCGTGTAGGCTTATTTTATTTAGAAACAACGTTTCTAAAAAATTTTTCTTATATATTATTTAGGCTTGCTTAATTACCTTGGAAATTGGGAAATATAAATTAAATTGAACTGGGTATAGAATTTATAAAATTAAAATGATATATTTCTTTTAGAAGGAAGTACAGAAGAGACGGAAACTTCTAGTTTTGCCGGCGCAAAACCATACAATAGGCTCGGCGAGGATCTCCTGCGAATGTTTTTAGAGGAAATTAATCCAGACGTTACAATAGACGTTGCTGGACGTAAAATAAGAGCTCATAAATGCATTTTAAGTTCTAGATGTCAATACTTTGCTGCGATTCTTAGCGGAGGTTGGATTGAAAGTACGGGAAATATAATTTCTTTGCAAGGGTAAGCTGTTTAAATTTTATATTAAATTGTGACTGGAAAGCATATTTTTACGTTATTGCGATAAGAATGTTGATTAAAAATTCCCAAGTAATCATCTTCATCATCTTAGTTTAACTTTTAAAATTTTTGAAATCTGACTTCACCCAAATGCGAATTTCGGTCGGCCGCCAGAGATGGTTGGTTGGCCCATGGTCGGCCCAACTAGGGCTGCACGAGAGTCGGCCGCCCTAGTTGGGTCGACCATGGTAAATATTGTCACCCAAAGATGGCCCGACTATGGCTGTCAACGTCGACAGCCCTAGTTGGACCAACCATGGTTCCCATAGTTGGGCCGACTGCGGGAGATAATGGTCGGCATGACTGGGCAGCCACAGTTGGGCCGACCATCTGTCACGACTGTCGGCAGCCACAGTTGGACCAACCTTGGCCGCCCTAGTTGGGCCGACTATGGAGAACAATGGCCGGCATGACTAGGGCACCCACAGTTGGTTCGACTATGGGGAACTATGGTCGGCATGACCTTGGCAGCCACAGTCGGTCCAACTGTGGCTGCCATAGTTGGGCCAACCGTTGGAGACGGCGGTTGGCAGCCACATTTGGGCCAACCTTGGCTGCCATAGTGGCCGACCATCTGGCATGACGGTCGGCAGCCACAGTTGGGCCAACTATGGGATCGTCGGTTGACATAACTTGTGATTCAACAATCACAGTTGGGATATACTTTAAACAAAATGGTGATTAATAAAACTGTGGCATCCACAATATTAAGAAACTCACTTCTTAATGGTCGGCTCAAGTCTGGCCGACGGTCGCCTAAATTTCTTTGAAGATGCAACTTATGAGACTAATTTTTCCTTAGACTCTCATGTAAGCGCAGGGTAATGGATAGCGTGTTAGATTTCGGTGCGTTAGGTTGCGGGTTCGATCCTTGCGAGCGATAAATATTTTTAAAATGTATGTGGGTGATTCTACAAACGAAGGACGAGAATGAAGAAAATATGGACACAACAGTTTTTTCTCATTTAAATTCTGAAAAGTACTTTAACTTCAATTTAATGACACTAAAAAAGATATCTGAAAGTGGCCAGAGAAAATATTCAAAATTACAATAGTTATGGTTGTTTATAAACAATTTATCCAGGAAATTAAGATCGTGTATAGAAAATTCACATTAACACAAAAAATAATGGATGGATTTACACAAAATTTATTATTCGGGGGTTTTCGGGGTCGTTGATTACGAATCCGAGGCCAGTTTTTCAAAATTCAAAATGGCGGATCCAATATGGCGGCCTTTTTTTATTCGTTCGTATTTGCTTGAAACTCTCTACTCGGGTGTTTTTGGGCTCGATGAAAATGAATCCGAAGTCAATTTTTCAAAATTTAAAATGGCGGATGCAACATGACGGACAAATATTTCAAAACACTGGAAACTACTTACTTGGTAACTTTTCGGGGTCGCTGGTAACGATTCCGACGTCAGTTTTTCATATTTAAAATGTGCAGATATACTGTATTAAACGAGTTTAAAAAAAAATTTCGATTTTTATTAAATTTTAAATCCAGGAGTTTTTGAATTATTGATAACTAATCTAAAGCCCAATTTTTAAAATTCCACAATTTTTAAGATATTTCTTTAAAATAGTCAAATTTTGAAAATCTGACTTGAAACTCGTAATCTGGTAATTTGAAAAAGAAAAGTAAGGAATGAATCATTTTTTGCACGTATAATTTTGATAAACAGGTTAATTTAAATTAATAAGTTTTTTCAAAATTCGTTCGCCATATTGGATCTGCCATTTTGAATTTTAAAAAACTGACGTCGGATTCGTAATCAGTGACCCCAAAAACCACCGAGTAATTATTTTTGACAAATATATTAAGTTTTTTCAAAAGTCGTCCGCCATATTGGATCCGCCATTTTGAATTTTGAAAAACTGACGTCGGATTCTTAATCAGCGACCTCTTAAACCCCCGAGTAACGAATTTTACAAGAATCAATAAAAGGTATCGCTTTAATTAGTAATTTGTTTATAACAAATTACGTGTGTTCTACTAGAACATAATTTTACAAATCACAAAACTGTAGGAGTACTTTAAGTGTCTAATAATAAAAAATATTTCGATTTTATTGTGATATTCATACGATTCACAGGAAAAAAGTACTTTTTATTTGTTTATTTATATTAATATAATTATATAAACAAAAATTAAAGATTGGGGTTTAGCAATATCTTAAAAATTTTGTAAGGATTATTTTAAGTCAAGAAAATCGAAAAATGTTAAAAAATTATTAGTTTTACGCAGTGTTTTAGTGCTTAATGTATATCCTGTCTCCAAAGTGCCAGACGAATGAGAACCAGACGAATGAGAATTTGGCAGTTTTTTTTTAAAAAAAAAGGTAGAAACAACATTAAATAAAAAAATAAGCAATTCTATCCGATAGAGAATTCAAATTTGCAAAACATATGCCTATAAACGGACCTAAAAATAATATTTTTTCAAAAAAATGGATGCTAGACGAATGAGAATTTGTCTGGTCACAACGCAATCTTGGTCACAAATTGAGAAATCTTGGTTAATAGAATAACAGATTAAATAAAACGCGCGTGGTATCACATTTAGTTTAGTTTAATTAACAACAATAACGAACTGTAACTTCATCAGAATGTTGATTTTTAATAATGTTAACGTGTTTTCAACTGCCAGACGAATGACGACAAAATCCAGGGACAAAATTCAAGAAGATATTTTATAAATAAGGCATAGAGTAATGTCATAATTGTTTCCATATTAATAATCTACAACTATTTAAAATTACTAATCCAGTATGAATTTTCCGCTAAACACTTGAAAAATAATATTTTTTCACAATATGAACTGTCAATTACACTGCGGGACATGCCAGACGAATGACAATTTAGCACTTTGATGTGTGTTTTTTGCAAGAAATATTTTTTTTCATCGTCTTCTTTTTAGTGCCACAATAGAAACCATTTAGATTTACAATTTTCATCAAAAATAAAATTATTTTTTTCAAAATTAATATACAAAATAAGCTTGACCGCTCATAATTCCTTCGTTTGTAGAATCACCCATGTATGTATGTATAAGATTGCGTTTAGTGTTTAAATACCTATAATAATTGTATGATGAATTTAGAAAAATTACTAACATATGTTATTCTTATAACAAATTTTTATATTTTATTTTTTATTGGTCGGCAAAAATTTTAATGCCAAGGTCGGCCAACCTTTGGCAGCCATAGTTGGGCCAACTGAGTCGACCATATGTCGATTGACGTTATCAATTCGCTAGTTGGCCCGACCTTTGGCTGCCATAGGTGGGCCGACAATCTTTACCATAGTGGGCCCAACTATGGCTGCCGATCGTCGTCCCCAACAGTCGGCAAAACTAGGGCAGCCACAGTTGGCCAGACTTGGGTACCCATAGTTGGGCCAACCAAGTCGACCCTAGGTCGGTTGACGTTATCAATTCGCTAGTTGGCCCGTCCTCTGGCTGCCCAAGGTGAGCCGACTGAGCACATGGCTGGCCCAAGTTGGGGCCGACCGCCAAGTCGCACCTGGGCAGATACGTAACACAGGTCAGGATTTTGAGGAAAGTTGGGGTAAAAACTCCAAAAACCGTGTTTTTGAGGGTTTTTAGTATTTTGTATCTCATTAGCCTGACGTGATACAGACTTCTTTATACGCTTAAATTAAAGCTTACATCTTACACTTTAAGACTCATATGCGCAAGATAAAAAAATTTTAAATTTTGAAAAAAATAAACACTTACCTTAAAAACACAGTTTTTGGGGTATTTACGCACATTTTTTCAATTTTTTTTTTATTCTTGCGTATATGGGTCTTAAAGTGAAAGATATAAGCTTTAATTTAAACCTATATAGAACTGTCTAGCACGTCGGCTTAAAAAGAAAAAAAATTGGTCAAGTGCGAGTTACACTCGCTTACCTAGGGTTCCGTTCACGATTATTTAAATGTTCATATATGTTAAAAAAATCGGACAAGTGCGAGTTACACTCGCATTAAAACCAGAGGTTCCGTACCCTTAAACCTAAAATTTAAGGGAGTTAAAGTGTGAAGGCAGGTGGAAAAATTCCAATTTTGCTTAATTTTTCCTGTAATGTGAGCATGAAAACACATACATAGTCACATGTATCGAAAATTATCAGTTTTTCCTTGAAATCGCTATGATTATCAACTCCAATCATGCTTACTATATGTTTTTTGTAATCTACACGTAATAATACGTAAAAATGTATAAATTTGAAGTCCTTTAAATAAAATTTTCTTCGTTTATTGAAGAAAATTTATGTTTTTTTCGACAATTATCAGTTTTTCCTTGAAAACGCTATGATAATCAACTCCAATCGTTCTCGCTATATTTTTTTTGTAATCTACACGTAAAAATACGTAAAAATGTATAAATTTGAATCCCTTGAGATAAAATTTTCATTTTTTTTTATTCGAAAAATCCATGGTTTTTTCTAAAAATATGAGTTTTCCTTAAAAACAATATGATCATCAATTCCAATTGGCTCGCTACATTTTTCCTGTAATCTACACGTCAAAATACATATGAATACCCGGATCAAATAAGTCGACCGACGCTCGGACGAACGCTCTATTACCAGTCAAGTAGCAGTGACAGCCTGTGGGTGGCTCACTGCTACCCGACTACCATTAGAGCGTGCGTCCGAGCGTCGGTCGAGTTATTTGATCCGGGTATTCATATGTGTACCAAATTTCAGCCTTCTAGATAAATTCGTGTGGCCGTTAGGGGGGGGGGGTACATGCCTTGCTTTACTAGCAGGGTTGGGTACGTAAATTACCTAAGGTAATCTACGTATGTTCTTTATACCTATAATACCTAGTAAATTACGTCTACAGTTTTCTACGTACGTAATTTACATCCTCTTATGAATCGTCACCGCGATCGAAACGGGGAGCCGAATCATGCGCAACATATACTCATTA